TTAAGTCTATTTCACTGAATGAAATGTAATTACATTACAACATTGATGCTGTAAAAGAAACTTTATGAAATTGAAAATAGTCACATAAAGCTTTCTCCGGAAATTTATGATTGGCTGAAAAACACTAGCTGTGCATATAGCCCATTGGAAACAAGTTACTAATGTTAATGCCATGTTTACTTTTGAAATTCAATTAAGTTCCAGACAGTTCAGAATTATTTATTTATTTTTTTACTCCTACTTAGAAATAAGATCTTGAAAACCACTCAAAGTCAGACATTCCACCTGTAAACTTGAGGGAGATCGATCAAACCTCAGCCAGACATGTCTCTTGACATCCCTTCCAAGATGCAGACAAGTCACAAAACCAAACTGTTTACAGGATAGATATAAACTGTTTTCTATTCATCATCTGTTTTGAAGGCAGCAGTATGTTATCATATTTTATATTCTGGTTTTGGCATCACTGACAAAAAAAACAAACATATTAAATGGCATTTACCAGTACAGGCATGAGAAAAAAGCAAGCTCATGAACCAATAAGCGAAACACTGAACAACAATGCTCCTAAAATAAATGTTTAGCATACATTTAACATAGCTGTCAATTAAATAATCATCATTATAGAAGATCTTTTTAAGCCTTGACCTGCTGCCTTATGTAATATGTGATGCTTAACCAGGATATGCTGGCGTGATGAAAGTGTGGCCATGCAGCAGGTTACAAACGAAGGAACGGACAACTGAACCCCAGAGAGTCCTGACCCACTTGGGAGGACATGATGGAGATGTCTGTCCTACTTTCCAATTCTAATCTCTACCTGCTCACTTATCAGTGCACTAGATTCACTAGAAAGTGCAAATCAGTTTACGGCAAGGACAGGATACTGCACAATAAACAATGAACAAGAAACGACACACAAATGCTAAATTTGGCTTTAGCGATGAGAGACTCTGATGATGATGGTCATCTGTGAGATGACGAAAGCGCCAACATTCTTCAGCACGGTCCGAGACAGTAACCATGACAACTAGGCCGTGGCAGGTGACAGACAGGACAGCAGCGCATAATAGGCTGACACAGAGCACCCACAGAATATGACTGGCTAACACACGGTTTGACTGGCTGACAGCGCACCCATAGGGCCAAATTCACCTGAGATTAGCAGCCAGACCAGAGATGCAGTGAGCCATCTCTCCGTTCTGTTTGTCTGAGCCCCACATGCTGTAAACAAATGAAAGAGAGCACAAAAAACACACACACATGGCAGGTTAGACCTGCTCCAGATATCAGCAAATCTGTACTCAGCATTAACAGAAGTGTCCCCTCCCTCAAAGGGAACAGTCTCGCTAATGAGAGCATAGCACAGCGCTAACCCTGCTGTTAGCAGGCATTAAAGCCAGTCTAGAACACCTCGATGTTCACCCCCCATAGGGAGGAGGGAACAAGGAAGAAAAAAAAGAAGAAGAGGAAAACGTCTGTATGTGAGAGCAAAAGACAGTTATTTAGGTCAATCTCTGAGAGAGAATATGTAGGCTTCAGGTTGTGTGCTAGCAATGATTGTTAGCACTTTTTTGTTCATGTGATTGCTAATATCAGATCATGACCCCTGTTATACTGCTGAAGATGACTGGAGAAAGAAAAACCCCACTGTGCAAATTCACATCAAGGTAGATGTACACGTCATGCTAATAATGTAGTGTACAGCTGCCCTTGACCTGAGCCTTTAAGCTATTATGTGATGCATAAAGAGAAAATAGGTAGTGTAGACATTCTGTCTTGTGCATTACATTCACATCCCAAACATGAAACTTCATATTCAGGGCATTTAGATGCCCCTGTAACACAGTTTTGATTCACAGAGCATTAGCAATGTTCTCTCCTTAGCTGATGAAGCAGAGAGACACAACTAGATTAATGGGATACGGCCGTGTCTTGTGGGAAAAAAATTGAAAATTAATATGTAATAATTTACAACAGTTCAGTGGACAAGCGGCAAAATGAAGGAGTTGTCTAAATAAACAATAATGTCCAAATGACAAATTCTAAAAAAAGAAAATGATAATGTTAGCTGAACGCTACACTGTTTTAGAAATGTATAATTGGATCTAATGTTTTAGATTTACATTACAATAAAATCTAGAACCATACGTTAATAACTTTAGGATTCAAACACACATTTACCACTAAAATACCATGACTTTAACAGGACTTTCAAGTTAATTTTCATAACCTTATGTTTTATGGAATGTCTATATTTGGTAAATAATAAGAAAAACAATGCAGGTTCAAATTTAATACAGCGTATCATAAAACATGCAACAATATATTTAGTTTAAATTTATTTTTATATCTATGTAAAATTAATTTAGATACTGCTAGGCCCACACGGAATATGCGCATGCAGAAATCCACAGATTTTTATTTGTGTAAATGTGTGTAAATTTATATTTATTCAGTTTTTTTATTAATTTCAGTAATAATATTGACTAAAATAAAAGTGTTAATTTGATTTATTTATAATACAGTTTGAAATAATATTTTCTGTCTTTCAGTAGATTTACATTATATGAGAGACTTGCTTTGTCTATCAAATACATGGATCTAGATGGATTTTCATTGTGAACATTAAATAAAAGTTAAAAAGATATATTTTTTTATTTCATATTTCACATATACATGATTCACCCAAAATAATTCTGCATAAATCTGCATTTTTTTTTTTTTTACAAAATTCTTAGCAGAAATAGCAAAAAATTGTCTGCAGATTCTGTTTGGCCCTTGATATTGCTTACACAGCACTTATAATATGAGAGTAAGTTTTTGGTCAAAAACAGAAAAGAAATAAAGACAACTAACCTATATTCAAGTATACAGATATTTGTTCAACTAACTTCCGTGACTTTTCCAAAACTTTTACAGGTTAGGAAAATGCCATGTCAAAATTCCATGACTTCTCCAGGTTTTCCATGACTGTAAGAACACTGTAATTTATAATATTATAATTCTTAATACATTACACGGCAAAGATGTTTTATACCATGAGAGGTGTAATCCATTTTTGTTGCATATGGGTTTTAACATAACCTCCATACTCATCAGAGGGTTGATTTAATGAGGTCAGATCATGTGAAGGTTTGTGGTGTATTAATATGCCATTTCTCTAGTTTTATTGAAGCTTTTTTTTATTTAGTTTAATTTAACTACTACTACTATTATTATTATTATTATTATTATTGTTACTACATTTTTACACCCCTCCCAATTTGTTCTGTTCACCTGTTTGATGTTGTATCTGTATAGGTAGTTTTAAATCACGTGGTTTTGATGATATGCGAAATTCAGATGGAGGGCAGGAATTTAAAAAAATGTGTAGGAAACACTGAAGAAAGTCTGTGTTTTTGTCATTTACACCACATTATAAAAGAGATTTAAATAGAAAATAAGCACATAGGTTGTGGATGATCCTTATATCATGAAGAGGGCTGAGTTTTCTATTGAACTAAAATATATTTGGCTGTCACCGAGGCGGTAAATACTGTATAATTACGTTACATGAAAAAAATAAAAAAGCATACTATAGATAATTACTTGAATTAAACTGTCGTAGTAATAATATTGTGGTTGTGGTAAAACACAACTGTAGTAATAAACAAATTATTCAATAGGTTTCAGCTTTCTACGCTAGAATCACAATGCTATTTACGCTAACGTTCCAGTTTACAATGCTAAAGTATTCGGGAGCATTCATTAACAAAGAGTTGTACACATTATACACTTCACGTTTTTATTAAATTACTACAGTTTTTTTACCCCATGTGGATATCTTCCAGACATCATGAAATAAGCATATGAAAGCTTAGACGCAGAGTCTACATTATTTATTTGTTTATTTATTTTTGTAAGGAGGAAAAGTGCTCCTCAATAATAACCGTTGCATTTCTTCTTCTGTTGATGAACTTAAGCATCAACAAACAATCACCACATGCATCTTCATGTTCACGTTCAACGGTTGTTTATTCCATCGGAACGCCAGCAAAGATTTGATTATTGCAAAACAAGATGGAAAATTCATTGCAGCGATTACATGGCAGGGTGTGTTATTTATATTCCCCTGTATTTTGAATAAGTGTGGTGGTGTTTGTATCTGATTTTTATATAACACATAAACATATTTATAAACATAACTTGGCCTGTATATAATCTTTATTGGTGCTGTCAAACAAATTACCACTTTCAAAAATGTTTGTACACATAAATGTATTAAATGAATGTTTATTACATGCCGCCTTTTCTTCCATTTTTCAGCCAGTTTCTTGAACTTTCTCTCCTTTATGAGCTAAAACTTTTGGAAGTCAATAAAAGCTGTTGGGCATTTCTACTTTTGGCTGACTTAAACAATTGTAAACAACAAAAACCAAACATTTTGATGTTCTGATAGCGATTCCTATGTACAAGAATCACTTCCTGCCCTCCATCTGAATTTCGTGTGACATCAATGATGTCATGTGAAAACAACTTATTGCCTGAAGATTATTATAATAATTAAAAAAAAATAATAATTCTTAATACAATTAATAAGTACAGGTCAGAGTAAGTGTGCTATTTAACTTTTACAAGAATGACGGTGAAACATTATTTAAACTGAATTATTAGAAACGTATTGTAAGGCAGACACTTTACTAGCACATAAAATGCTTATTGTATATACAAAAATCCCTTTCCTAAATGTAATTTGACAGCAAACTGTCTTTGACTAAAGTAATTGTCAAGTGACCATTCAACACCATCGAATAACATTTAGCTGAAGATAAAAGTTTCAGCTCAACTGTAGGGACGTCTATATCAATGCAAGTCATCTCTACAGTGCAGACAGGAAGTAGATGTGGTGCATGTGGGCTCACACTATGGACATGTGGTTATTGATGAACCAGGTGCATGTGTGAGAGGAACTGCGTGCACGAGTCAGAGAGTTTGTAAAAGGCACAGACAGGACTTACACAAGGTTGCTGAGTGAGGCCAGAGTGAGCTGCTGTGGCTGTTGTTGTTGTTGCTGCTGCTGCTGAGTCTGTTGCTGGGATACGGATGGCTGCTGCTGTGGTTGCTGGGATACAGATGGCTGCTGCTGCTGTTGCCAAGTGGTCATGTTGCCTGGCAACAGTGCGCCCGACGGCGTAAAGGCCTGGAGGGCTGTGAGATCTGCACTTGTTAGCTGGTACTCTGCATGAAAACAAAGGGGAGCAATTAATGCATATTCATGTTTACATCATTTCTGAAATACAGAATGAAAGTTCTATTTCATAACTCTAATAACATAACATCATAATCTATATTAGAGACGGCTGTCTGGATTAATAGCCATGTCTTTTGTGTAAAGTATTTGCAATCAACTGCTGATAAAATTTTCTTCTAATATAATTCTATATGCTAGTGTACTCCAAAACAGTGACAAAATATGTGTTTAGAATATATAAAACAGATATAAACATGTAAAGTTTGCAGTTAGTCACCTCCGCCTGAATAGAATAGGTTGAACCGATATATATGAAATCCTTTGTACCAGTTTCAGTGGGTTAACTTAACAAGAGATAATCTTAAATAGCATTATAATAATTGTAACTACTATATTTTGTATTGTTTTTATGGTTTGTTTTTATGAAATATGTGCAGCAATATGATGATGCCCATAACAAATTTCCTGTCAAGGACAAAAAAAGTTTACTAATACTACTAATAAATCAATGGTTTTATTCACGTTACCTCATACTTTCAGTTTTGTGACCAATCAAATGCTCTCTAGTGTCTGACATGCCCCGCCTCTTTCAAGATGCTTCTCATTTAATGCACTTGAGCTCAGCCACTCTCACTAGCTATGTTTTCATACACCTATTTTTATGCGCATTTTGGATATGAGGAAAATTGGTTGATGGAAACAGCAAGATGTGCATATATTTTGACAATGCGCATAAAAAACATGTGCATAACGGAGTTGGATAAACTTTTTATTCGATAAGAAAAGATGTGCATAAACTACAATGTAAACACCTTTACCGACCAAATTCCAGTATGTGCATAAAAAAAGGTCATGTGATTTTGTTATAACAGATCATGTAATGATAAAAATGTGTGTGATGGGACAAATCAGCAGGCTGAGCACACTGTAAAACAACGGAAATGTTGTTTTGGTCATTCTTAAATGCCGCAACCATTTCAGTATAAGTGTTATTATATTATTAATTGGATGAACCGCTGCTTTATTTGCACATCTTTTATGCGATATTCCAGTTTTGCTCAAAGTTAATTCCCATTTTTGGATAGAAACATAGCTAATGGCAGAGAAGATAAACCAAAATGCTATTGTTTTTTTTTTTTTAAATGGGAGGAGCTACACTATTTCCGACCCTCTCATCGTGTTTCGGTTGAGATTATGTTAAACATCAAATAAAAGTGGACATTTTAAAGCACTTTACGAGGCCTTTAAAGAATCTAATTTAAAATAAAAATATTATCATTTAGAGCAGTGTTTCTCAACCACGTTCCTGGAGGACCATCAGCACTGCATGTTTTGGCCTTGTCCTTTGTCTGTCACAGCCATTACATGTCTTTCTGTCTTTGCTAATGAGCTGTTGATCTAAATCAGGAGTGTTTTGTTAAAGAGATACAGAAAATGTGCAAAGCTGGTGGTCCTTCAGGAACATGGTTTAAAAACACTGATTTAAAGCATTTAATACCAGAAAAAGACAATAGGCCAATATAAAATATTCCATGCTTTTTAATGAGTATATATATTTATACATATGTGTGTGATATATAAAACTGACAGCGTAGCGTCCCAGTTTTCACCAATTTTACAATATTGTGAGCTGTTCTAAAGTGTCTAAAAGCCTCCAACAGAAGGTTGTACAGATGAAGGCCAAAGGGAGAACATTTCAGCCATACCAAGGGAAGCTAGTCATTCCAAAACTATGGTCTCTACAATACTACAGATTTACATTGTCACTAACCCCGTTAAATCCCCAAAAAAGACTGACAATCCATGAAAGACAAATGCACAAAAGAACAAGACACTTGGTGAGGAGGATTTCACTAGCCAAATGCTTCAACACAGCAGCTGGAATTGCTTTACAGTACAGTGCTGAGTAAAGATCTGCTCGATATACAGTCTTGACGTTTAAGTGACTGAACTGAAAGCCCTACAATGACCAAAGCTCTCATCAGCAGAAATAATCACAAGGCTAGACTAACCTTTGCAAAAGAGCATGTAGTGAGGACAGAGAACTGGTCCAAAGTTTATTTAATTATGAAATTCAATTATGAATTATAAAATATGAAAGTGAGATTCTTTTTTTTTTGGGTCTGGTGATAAACAAAACTAAACCCAAAGTGTGTAAAGAAGTCAGTGAAAGGTTCAAATGTTTATCAAAATATATTCAGCAACATACAGTGCAATATTTCTGAAAAATGTCAAAGTAAAAAGTAAAGTTTTCATAAACAGTTCTCCGATTATAATTCCAACCCACTCCAATATTTCAGAAAACATGGATCATTTTATACATTTATTGTCAAATAAATGCTTTAAATTATAAAATTCTTTCCTGAAATTTTCAAAACACTTAATCAGTAGTTCAACCCAGATATGCGATAACAACTTTCAAGTGGTCTCATAATTGGTTTCCATGGCTGTATTAATCAATTTATTTTCAAAACAAACTAAAGTGAAAAATGCAGCCTTTATAAGACGCAATGATAAGCAGAAAACTAAGCACCAACGATTGAAAGAGGGCAAGTGAAAGACTTAAATGGACCATGACCTTCATTTAATTCAAATGCCTTTGCAAGCATCTCTCTGGAGTGTTAACTAAAGCAGGCTCGTGTTCGGCTCTCTCTAATGTGTGACGGATGTCTGGGCTTCTCACTATGATGTCACACTCACCTGTGTTGTAGGCGGTGGGCATAGAGAATGGAGTTAGGAGGCTCGGCGTTGCCACGGAAACCACTGGTGTGGTAAGAGGCTGGGTCACTTGAGAGGTGCCTAACCGCTGAGCATTCTGGAAAACCAGAGAGACAGAAAAACAGAGAGAGATAAAGTACGATGTGTGAGATCTACATCAGTTATTTCTATAATGAAGAACACACCCGGAAGACTTGTCTACACACACACACACACACACACACACACACACACACACACACACACACACACACACACACACACACACACACACACACACACACACATATATATATATGTGTGTGTGTGTATATATGAACACACAATTATCAATTTCTAGACATTTCTGAACCGCACATCTTACAGACAATTTCAAAACTTTAAAAAAAAAAAAAAAAAAAACAACAACAACAACAACACCACCTTTTAGTTTATTTATAGATATGGGACAATAACCGTTTTCAAGGTATACCACGGTTTGGAAAAGTCAAGGTTTTAAAATCGGCAACATTTTCTGCTATACTGTTCCTAAGGTATGTGTAAGAATTTTTTTTTTTTTTTTTTTTTTTTTTAGGACAACAGTATCTCCAGCAGAAAAAAAATCTTCAAAGATGCAGTATTAAATTGTGAAGAAATCTGTATTGTTGTAACAAATAAAGACAGCAGAAGTCAATGATTCATTTGAATTATGTAGCCAGACATGTTTACTGTTCCAAATAATTTAAAATGTTTCTCAAAATAAAATATATTAAGCTTAAAGGGGAAAAAGTTTTTGTTTTTTACCCAAATATTTAAAAGAAATTATTTTAGAGCAGTGATCTTAATTTCGTGATATTTTTATCCAAGGTTATCATACCGTTAGACTTTTATACTGGCCCATGCCTAGTTTTGTATGATGCATGAAACATTCAAATCATTCATATGTTCTTTCATGGTTAAATGATACAGCTGCTAGAGACATCTATATCTATAAAATAATTCAGCAGCAACATTAGCTGTTTTATATGTCAAAGAAATTAAATGCTATGATAAATATTAATATATTATTAAAATCATATGTAAAAGTAGTATAATACCATACTGCTTACAAAATATGTTGCTAAAAAATATTGGTATTTGTACATGTCCTGTATATGTATTTTATACAAGGGTGAAAGATAAAAGCAGTTTCATCAAAATAATGACTAGCATACAATATTAACAGGATATACAGAAGACACAGACTAAAAAATATAATTTATATTTAATACTATTCAAAAATTTATGTTTATATATTTAATAAAATATATAATATATATTCCTATAAATATTACATTTAAAATGACCTTTTATGACACTGTTTAGCCTTGTGGTTATCTCTACTCTGCTATCTGCAAAGCACGAAAAAGCCTAAATAATGACTTTATACGATATCTCTTGAGGCAAATTTACAACAAAATCTTTTGATGACATTTCATTTTTACATAAATATATCTATTACATAGAACGACAATGGAACATTAATTTACCTACTTTGACAGATCATATCTTAAACATTAAAGCGGATGATTTACTTTTTAGCATTTAATATGCTTTCTATGAATTTAAAATCAATTTCTGCATATGTAAAACTTGTTTAAAACCATAATGGGATGATCTCTGACCTACATGCATTTCATGGCAAAAACAAAAACCATCAAAAGAAGAACATTTATTTCATTTGTAAAAAAAAAAGCAACTGTTTTCTTATGACTTTTACCCAAAATGAAAGCATTTTTTGCATTAAATGGCATATTTTTCCGAGTAAATCTCATAAACCTAATTAATGATTCACCACACACATAAAGATACACACAAACACACACAAAAAACTCTCATTGTTGAGCTCTGCTCTGAATCATGCAGAAAAAAAAATCTTCACAACAAAACACACAATAACAAAATGGGTAGAGTGTGTCTGCAGGGCAAACCAGTGTCACAAATTTGCATTTAAAGCCCTGGAGTGCTTGGAGAGTCTACAAGAGGATAGAGATTGAGGCCACATTTTTGGTCAACAGACTCCCATGATTCAGCAGTCGTTCAGACATTGGCTTTGCCCTACTAATGCACAGAATCAGTCTCAAATCCAAAAGCTGAAATGGCTGAAACACTCCCCCAAACTCAGACATACATGCACGACACTTAGTGTGTCATTGGACAACAATCATTAAAGCAAAATACATCAAACAGTGAAAGAAGGTAAGAGAGAGGCAGACAAATTGATCTCTGGAGTGAGGGTTTCTGCTCCGCTGCGCTCCACATTTGATCTAGTGTGTCTGACTCATGTGAGATCAACCCATGCATATGTGCATTTCGCCTTGAGTGTATGTGTGTGTGTGCATTCATTTCAGAACTGAACATAATAATCAGGCAGTCAGCCTGCAACTGAATAAACAGTGCGCATTTAACTCCAATTCACTGATCACCAATTAGACCACATATGAATAACAGTGCATAAGCTATGAAATAAATAACTGTTTAACCACAGTTAATAATGGTGTTTGTGTGTGTGAAGTGCAAAAAATGCATATATTCGAAATGTTCAACACTCATTTAGCATTCATCACATGTTGTGAAACCGTTCACAGCACAACAGTCAAAAGAATTGAGCTGTATTCACCTCACTCACCAACTCCAGCTCTTCATCTGTCTGTGAGGCCAGAAACAAATAGAAAGCAGAGATTATAAGTCCTATAACACACACACACAAGCCCTGTTTTACACCTGGCTTGTGTCTCGCTTAACGCAAAACAACTGCTGGTAACATGTGCTTCCAGTAACCACTTCAGATCAGGTTTCAAGCAAAGGGTTTTGGACCTCATGACTGCATCCATTACTATTAACTGATGTCACGCCTCAAATCTTTCATCCACTAAATTCCCAGATCAAAAGTAAGAATACATAAATACATTTTAAATAACAAAATAAAAGTGCATTTTAGTATATTCTGTAATTAAAAATACAATAATACAAAATCAAGGTAAATGTGCCAATAGAGGTGAATTTCCCGTTGAACAGAGCAAATAACATAGAATACACATTATTTGCCTCAATTCAACTAATCTAGAGCAAGTGATGCAATGCTTTGCATCTAGTGTGAACCCAGCATAAGGCTTTTTTTAATCATGTGAATTGTGCTTCAATTTATTTCTAAGTAACTTGTAATGCAATTAATGTTAAGAAAGGAAAACCTTTGGTCAAGGAAAATTACATTATGATAATTATTTTCTTTTTCGTTAAAACTACTTAAAATCAGCCAGGTTAAAATCCCCAGTCAACAAACTGACAGAGCTTTGTGGTGATAAAATCTTGCAGTGCTTCCCACAGGTTTGAAATATACTTGTGATGGTAGCCTGAAACACACCTTTTACCCACAGCACATAAAGGGTCAACGACATTCGACAAACAAAAAAATAATGGGATTTTTAACTATAAAGCTTGTTGAAATAAAAGAAATCCACTAATTCTCTTACCTTTATGCGACTGCTTGCTCTCTCTCTCTCTCTCTCTCTCTCTCTCTCTCTTTCTAATGTTGCTTTATTGGCATGACATAGTACAGTATTGCCAAAGCATTTTAGATATGTGTAAATCAGGGGTGACCAACCTTTTTGAAACTGAGAGCTACTTGCTGTACCGATTAATGTAAAGGGCTACCAGTTTGAAACACACTTCTAAAATAACAAAATAGCTTAATTTATTTTTAATTTTATTTATATGATTTTCATCTATGTGAAGACACTGATCATGTTAATGATTTCTCACAATAGTTGTCAACAATCATTTAACAAGGTAGGAAACAGAAATATTAATATGCAACACTTTATTTTTTATAAATCTCTGTGAGTATTTACATTTTCAAATGACCACCACAATAATTTCACTAACCACTAACATTTTTAAGCAAATCATGCACTACATTGTACCATGTTTGTACAGATTATCAATTGTGTAACATAAATCAACTTTCAGATTTTACTGAAATTATCAAAAAATGACCAAATCTACAGCATTTTTAACAAAGCCGACAATCTTCTAACTATTGTAGTTGGACATTAGAGAGAGTGTAGATTACATTCCTTCCTGTCTTTAAGAACAGTTTTGTCTTTCCATTTACATCAAAACAAGTGTGATTTAAAAATAATTGCTACAAAAAATATTAGATGCAGCTTGCACTGGTAAGTGGCTATGGTGAGCTACTTTTAGAACAGGCCCGCGGGCAACTCATGTGATCCTCGCAGGCGACCTGTTGGTGACCCTTGGTATAAAATATGTAATATATTTACATCATTAAATTAATAAAATCTACAGCAAATGAGAACTAAATAACAGAAAAAAAGGAATAAAAATATACAACGTTACGAAAAATAATAATAGTTACCAGAATAAAAAGTGTAGATTGTTTAAATGAGGCAAATTAGTTGATAAGCCATTTCTGACTGTGTACAAATATTTTGCAGCGAGTAAACTTTGTTCCCCCTGGGTATATAGTAAAGTTTATCTGAGTTTTTTATAAAAGGATTAACCATTTAATGTTTCTCTCGCGGATGTGCACCTGCAGTCAGCTGCGAAAAGGTAATGCAAAAGCGCATACAAATAACAGCAACTTTAGAAAGTGAAAGTAAAACCCAAATCCAAGACATTTTAGGACATTCAGAAGCTACAGTCGGATGCATTTTGGCCCAAAAGGCGCATCTCTGTGGGTCTGCAGAGCATGTGATGGGACCAGCAGGACCAGCAGTAGGAATGTGCAGAGTGAAAGAAGATTTTCCACTGGTTATTTGAATGTGAATGTTTGGCTTTCTTAGACGAATACAAAAAAAGTTTAAAAGGATGATAGTAATAGTATTATTTACCACCAAATATACTTGGGTGGCTGTTAATATACCTGGGCGGCCTGTACAAGTAAAGTCTATGTGTAGGAAGCACTGCCTTGTATTTAATGCCTTTATCTAAAACTGACCATTTTGATCATATTAAGCCAGATCAGTGTATCTGACAGCTTTACTTTCCTTTTCGCTATCCTCAGAATCACACTAAGAGCCTAGACCTCTTCCCATCTCTAACATTAGCCCCTATACATTGCTCTTATAGAGTAACTGTTAGCAGTTGTGAGAATTGACAGTGTTTGGCTCACTGAGGCATGTGCAATGGGAAAGTGCTCACCAGCTGCATAAGGCCCTTGCTGCTCTGCGAGGTGATGACCCGAAGGTCCGGTTTGCGGCTGTTCGCCATCTGAGTGCTGGGCGGAGGTGGAGATTTAGCCTGGACTACTTTCCCCATGCTGTTGCCGTTGGAGACTGAGAGGAGTCCTGGGGAGGCCCTGGCACTGACGTAACCATTGGCTACAGAAGGAGAAAGAAAAATGAGAAGACAGAGAAATGTCAATACAGAGAAGGTGGCTTGGTTGCTTTCTTTCAACATCAATCCCTTTGCGCTGCAGCAGAATATAGTTTTCAGTCCTGTATTTCAGGTATTAATATGGTCGTGTTGACACAGTTTGGTTATTTGCAGTGATAATCGTATTTCATAACCAAAATCACAGGTTTAAATATTCACAAATGTATTTTTGGCAAAGCAGTTTTGTGTGAACAGAACTGTAATGGACAACTAGATGTTAGTCACGTTACACAGTGCGAGATAAACGCTTTGTCTAAAGAGTGTGATTTTCATGCATTGTTTGAGAACTGAACAGAGATGCAAATATGAGCTCAGCTAATCTTGTCATTTGTCTAATGTGAGACATGATGCAAATGTGCTATTTGCTTTAGATCCTGGCGATGGCTACATGGACACGTTCCTTTAGAATGAAATTAGTCTCCTTTAGAATGAAATGATTCTGAATGTTGAATCCATATATAGGGCTCTTTTATCCACTCGGCGCAAGAAGGCACAAGAAGTGTTTGGTGCGATTTGTTGCTATTTTCAGACCAGCGTAACCCTAATTTTCTCGTTTTGCACCACTTTGTTTAAATAGCAAATCCATTTGCACCACTTTGTAAACTCATGGGTGTTCCAGACTTAAAAGGAGGTGTGTTAAGGTGCATTGTTCGTGCATTGCTATTTCGAGGATACGTAAGAAAAAGACGTTTGTTTGGAATATAACTCAGTTTTTTTAACCACACTACGCTATTATTATCCATTTATTAATTTGCTGGAAATTAGAATTGAATTTAGAAATAGTTTTGAAGCAAATCTTTGTGCTTAAAGTAAATTTAATATACAGACTGATGGATGTCTTATATTGAGTACATAAAACACTGTTTTCTTATCCACGAAAGTAAAAGAGTAAAGTAAAGAGTAAAAGTAAAGAGGCTGAATGGAGGAGGCTCGTTCTTTATCCTTTGCAGATTGTTTGTTGATCTATTTTCTTGGTAGTGAAGCATTCAGTTTTTCCACTTACAAAGTCGCCATGTAAGTAGCAAATGCACCATGGCGTGACGCAACTTACTCCTAAAGGGAATAGGAGATGAGACTGTGACTAGTTTAATCCACGTTGTGCTCAAAACACACCCATAACTTATTAAGAGAATAAGAACAACCCTGTTTGACCATGCGCCATTGTGCAAACCGCATTTTTCCATCCCTAAAACAGCAAAAGTAGATTCGGACACGCCCTTAAATGCTTTTGCGCCCTGCACTTTAGACTTTGCACCTAGATCATTAAAATAGAGGCCATAGTGTTTACAAAAATTTTAAATAAGTAATTTTAAATTAAGTATTATGCTGTTATTTTTAAAAAATTTCCAAGAGTTCACACTTAGATATTGTTTGACAACTTGTAAGCAAGTTAGCAGGTTTGGCATGTAGTCCCGGGAGAGAACCCTGAGCTCGGAGAAATTTGAGCCCAGGGCTACAGGCCGGTCCATAGAGCATGTAAGGGGAGTATGAGATCAGGTGGTTCTCGAGAGCTCCCTTGGTAAAGGAGGAAGGGGTGGATGCAGGGTTTCTTTGGAAAAACGAAGATAAGGGAGTAAATCTAGCTAGGCTACTTATAGTGAGTTTGGATCAATCTGATTGGCTAGCTAATGAGTGTAGATGAGTGGCTAGCTGCAGTCAATCATATCACGTGCTCCTCTTGAAATTAGTTTGTGAAACTTCACTTTGGGTGACAAGAGGCAAAAGGAACTGACTTCTTGCCATTCTGCCTGTGTTTATTCAGTAGTAACAATGCCCTGTTCTTTAAACAAAATGTGTAAGAAGCAACATTGTCCTACACCATTTCACAGTTGAAGATATCTGAAGTAAGTTTATTTTTGATGCTAATATCTCCACACTCAACAACCACGTTCCTTGTCATACATCATTACGCCGTTTCCACGCCATTGCATATGCACAAAAATGTTCAGCTTTTAATCCAATTGAGCATGTCCGATTGGATTAAGCCAATAGATTTTATATGAAATGGTTACATATGACACTTTTTATTTAGATTGTGCAACTAGTCCATTGTCATATTGATTATTTTTGTCCATGTAAATGTATTTATTGTTGGTATGGTTTAAAACTGACTGTCAAAAATTAAATTAGCACTTTCGTTCATACTGACATCTCATGTACACCTGGAATTATGTACTGTTTTTGTCAGTTTGATCTCAAGTAACCCACAACAAGTAAAAATGTATAAGGGGTTTAAAATGATTTGAATATTTCGTTCTTGAGGTTGTACAAAATGTATTTGGATTGCTTTCAAATTGTAAATGCTCATGTGGTCAAATGCATTCAAATGGCCACGAAAGACCACCTACTCTCTACTGACCTAACACATGATTTTGAGCACATTTGTAAGCTGCGTAACATTGGTTTGTTCATTCAATAGTACTTATGCGGTGAGTTAAGCAGTCCTGTGAAAGTAACGCACAACGTGACAAAATGAGTGCAAATGGTCTGTGTGAAATCTGAGCACAGGTGTTCACGAGACGGACTCAAACATGCTAATACCAGGTGCCAATGTGTCTCAGATGACCACATGTTATCGGATCACTGAAAACACATGTTAATACCATGTGGAAACAAGGCCAAACAGAATACAAACTTGACTTTAGTTGACTTCACAAGTCTCTGCTGTGTAAACAGGACATTTTGAATTTTGAGACTCGTTTCCAAATTCAGTATGATAACTTATATGTGTAGCACAACTTTAGGACCACAAAATACATGACTGTGATCATATTTTCTCTTTTGATGGAATAACCCAATAATAAAACACCAGGAAAAATAATCCTATTAGGGTCTCCTTCATCGCGGCAGATGTGTTTTCAAACACTTTGTGCCACACACCAAATCCTCTGTTTTTTTGGGATTACAACTCTATTATGTTGTAATTGGGAGGATTAATTGTGACTTGTTATTAGGTTGGAGAACCGCATTCCTTCCGTTGAGGAGGAAATGCAGCGAACAAGCAGACGAACACAGGGAAGATATCAGAGCATTAAACTGACACCAGTTCATCCTGTTCCTCGACCTTCTTCCCAGCTTTGTTGTCGAAATATTTTCACTCCATTTTGTTTATGATGCTGCAGGACTCGTAATGCTTGATCTAATCCGATAAGTAGTCAAACTCAAGGGCAGTGTTTGGAGAGGAAGGCAGAGTATGTGATCTGTGTTTCAGAGAAAGAGAGAGAGAAAGAGAGAAATAGAGAGACTGGGGACTTTCCCAATGTTTTCCCACATTCTGGAACTGAATAACACAATTCTCTCAACAACATTAACGTCACTCGCTAGTGCTATGGCAACACACTGATGTCTCAGCTGAACCAAAATATCCCAAATATTTATACTACAAATATTTTTAGCAGCGCTATTTTAACTTGCTGCTGCAAGAGAGACGTGGTTGGTTGGCTACAAGATTTTGATAGTAATGGGTAAAGTTCTGGGTCAAAATAGGCATCATAATCACTAATATTGTAATCCGTCTGAAAGTAAAAAAAAGAATAAAATGTATTTACTTAAAAATATGAATAAAAAACTCATAAATTTCAATATGAACTTTATTTTAGCTCTAAGTTTTTAGTTAACAACCCTCATTTATAGAAAACAGACCTTTTGTATTATGGATTTTAGAAAATAAGCTTCTATGCAACATGTACCAGCACTAAGTGAATGAAAACATCCAGCTTAGGTTTAAACATGAAGGTGCAGCATATTTAAAACGATTGATTCTTTAATGAAATACTCCACTTAGAATTAAATGAATGAATCATGTTTGGTTCGGATCTTTTGCCTGACCTCGTTGGCGTCGACATGGTACACCACCAAATATGTAGTACCGGATCCGGTGAAACATGAACGCGCCTTTTCCCCCACGGGGGATCATGGGACTGATCATGAAATGAAGATGACGATCACTGACAGATTTGGCTGCGAGTAATAAAAGCTTTGAGTTAATTTTCACAACAATACCACAGTATAGCCAACCTAGTGCTGTGTTTGTTCCTGTCATTTTTCAGATTTTTTATACAATAACCTACGTTACAACGCAGGATACACCGGCCGTTTGCTAATAAAGGTAGGAGCAGCAGAGACTATTACTGTCTGTTCACACTGAAAGCAGCGAGAATGCTCAATTTAGCTGGAAGTCATTCATTTTCAATGGGAGCCGATAAGCGTCGAGGAGCAGCACAGCACCTCTTCGTCGGTGTGGGCGTTAAGGAGAGTTGAAATCAAGTCAACTTTATGGTAATGAGCTATGATGCGGTTCAGCAGCAAGCAATCCGAATGTAGAAGTCCACCGCTTGAAAGGAGTCCAGAGAACATTGTCACTGTGAACTTTGGTTCCGACCACAATTATTCCAATGGGTTTGTTTATTGTGGTTGCTGGATTTCTCATTATTTGCAATGTTTTATTACAGGAACATACATTTTTAAAAAGTTACTGGCGAGATACTGTTGTGCATTAATATTATATTTATATAAGCCACACCACATGTAACTTGATCTTACTTTCTTAAATTAATTTGATAAAAAAGTGCAACATTTTCATGCTAGAAAGCATGTTTTATGCCTGAATGTAACTGATATGTTGCAACAGCCTCTTTAAATACAAGATCACCATCGCAAATAGTCGCCCGAGCTGAAATCAGACAGCGTTGTCGCCAGGGCGGCCAGAGCGACCTTTGATGCTCTCACCGCCTTCAGTGTGAACACACAGTTATATATGGGACTTTGTCAGACTTTGACTTTTTCAGTAACTGTCACAGTTCATATGGACCAGTTTCTTCTTCCTCCGAATCATAACATGTAAGTGTAATTGAAATTGTTGCCTCGTTTTGTGTACTCTACAAATTTTTTAATGTTATTTAATTGGGTGTTGTAACTTGTAATCACTCCATCTAGCTTATAATCA